TCAAAGAGCAACATAGCCATAGAGGCTGGTCTGCCATGCCTCACCCCAATCCCAGCCCAGCCAGAGGAGTGAAAATACTTCATCAAAGAGACATTTGTACCCAACATGCATAGCAGTATTATTTACCATAACCAATACTAGAAGCAATCTAAGCGTTTATCAATTGGTGAATGGCTACAGAAGTTGTGGCATATATCTCTTTATATAAGAGCTGGGGAAAGTAGTTTACAGCTGTGCATATGCAGAGCAGAGTCTATTCTTGTATTATTATTTATTAATTATCATATGATTTATTTGTGTAACAACCGTAAACCTACTTTTACCCTCTGCTGTCTTCCCTTAATGGAAGGTAGAGGATATTATGGAGCAGTCACTAGTGCTGACTTAAGAAATTCTAGACTGATTGGTTCAAAGTTCCACTCCGGAGAGATACAGGAATTGCAGTCTAGGCATTAAAGGTGAAGAGACTCCTTTTGGGACATGTTGTTTATCTTTCATGCATATAAATGAAATATTTTTTGTTTTGCTCAGAATATTCAAGTTGATCATTTTTCCTTGAATCTAAATAGTATTAACCTAACAATGTGGTACATTTTTAGCCACAGCTAGTGTTTTGGAGTCTGGTCCTCTTCTTTTAAAAATTATTAGCTAGGGTCAAGAGGTTAAAGGCAAGGAAAGCAATTTCCATGTATCATTTACCATGTGTTTCCTGAAGGAATAAGGCTTGGATCATCTTCTAGGTTTTGTATTATCTGGGATTAGGGACACTAGAAGGAATTCCAAGGAAGTCTATAAAGACTTCATATATTTTAGTTCAATATCTGGTGTTGGAACTCCCCTAAGAGGAGCTATTAAGCCAACCCAAATCTAGCAGGCATTGGAGTAAGTACCTGAGCCTTGTTCAATTCCATTTGTAGGGCAAGTCAAAGTTGATTGGCTAAAGGATTATAAACTAAGCCTGCTGACTACTGGGGGAGACTTTTCTAAAATGGAGAGGATACAGGGAAAGAATTACATGATGGTTCATAGTCAACAAGAGAATGCTGTTTTCCAGAATCTAATATTGCTCTAAGGTAATTAATCCAGACACAAACAAGAAGAAGGTTTAATAAACAGTTTTAATCTTCTGAGCTATACAGTGTTATGCACTTCATTTAGGTTATTTCCTTTAAAAATGAATTCCACAAAATAAAATAAAACTATCATTCTTTCCAATTCCATCTAAGGAAACTAAGACAATAGTCAGGAACCCATACTTCAGCTCATTTGTCAGTATTTATTGAACCTTTCCAATTTCTCAAAGGTTATATCCCAGAGGTAAAGAGTACTAGGTTGGAAACCATACAAATGAATTTAGTTCCAAAATTGGCACTTACTAGCTGGATGGCCTTAGACAAGAAATGTAGCCGAAACCAGTTTGGCTCAGCGGATAGAGTGTTGGTCTGCAGACTGAAAGGTCTCAGGTTCGATTCCGGACAGGGGCATGTACATTGGTTGTGGGCACATCCCCAGTAAAGGGTGTGCAGGAGGCAGCTGGTCGATGTTTCTCTCTCATCGACATTTCTATCTCTCTATCCCTCTCCCTTCCTCTCTGTAAAAAATCAATAAAATATATTTTTAAAAATAATATACTCTCTGATATGGTTTTCTCTTCTGTAACAACCATTCCTATCTCTCAAGGCAGTTCTGAGCACTAAATGAATTAAAATGTATGAAGTACTTATAATATTGCCTGTAACCTATTAAGTGCTATCTAGATATAAGTTATTATTATTATGTGGCCATGTATCCTTGTGTCTCTGTGCTTTCTTTGGCATTGTCTTAAATCAGGGGTTTTTACTATTATTATAGAGCCAAGATGTGTAATTGCTGCCAGAAGGACCAGGAATGTAAATTAGGGTTGGGAATGTAAGTACAGAGTTTAACTGAGTTCCTAAGTTGCTACTTCATTGTATAGGCAGGATAGCCAAAAGCCCATGGCTGCTCAGAGAATGATCATGGCATCGCGGGGCTATTGTCATATGTTGGCTATGTCATCCTTTACCAGCCCAGGGGGCCCCTTCTTTCAAGCACCAAGGGCATTTTAAAGATTACAATGTTGATTCTGTTTCACTAAATTTAAGTAAACATCACCACTTCATCCAAAAATCCCTTACATAAGTGAGATCTGAACACCAGTATTACATATGACCTTGACTCCTAAATCAGATTTTAGATAGACACAGAGCCCAAACTAGAGTAAGTTCTCTCTTTCATGAATCTGGACATAGGATATAGAAATTCTAGTCAGGAGCAATATCAGAGGAATAGCGGTGTGAGAGATCACCTTAAAATAAGGTGACAAGACGCCCCGCTTTTGGCGGGACAGTCCCGATTTTTAACAATTTGTCCCGCGTCCAGCGGCATTTTTAAAAAGTCCCTATTTTATTCTTTCCAAATGTTTTTAACTCTCTATCCCTCCCCCTTCCTCTCTGTAAAAAAAAATAATCAATAAAATGTATTTTTAAAAAAGATATCCAAATTTATAGAAAATATTCCTTTATTAACTTTTGGTCAAGAATATGTTTGTATATTTTTATATTTTCAGAAAACAACTCAAGACTATGTGGATTCCTGCAACAGAGAGGAATTGACAGGACTGATCCAGGCATGAAGACAGAAGAGAAATAGTCCAGAGATGGAAGACGCTAACAACACCTTGCCATACTAGCAGACAGCAGCTGTGCGTCGCTGAAGGATGCCCGGGACCAAACCAGACATGGTTGGACCTGCATCACCACCATTTGTCCACCATCCAGAACTGAAATATTATTGCTGACATGTACACATAAGGAACTGTTTGACATTGAAATTGGGACTCAAAAGAACTGTTGGCCCAGAAAGCAACTCATTACAGACTGATTCATTTGCCTCTCAGCATAACCATTATGGCTGGTCTTATTTTTGGTTCTTATAAGTGTATTTCTTGTATCACATAATCTCACACATCTAGAGGAAATAACGAACAACATAAACTGATTAACAAAAACAGACCCGGAGACAGAGAAGCATCATCAATCAGACTGTCAAACCTCAGAGGGAAGGTAGGAGAAGGTGTGGGGGGGAAACAAAGCACTTGTTTGCATGCATATAAGTCTAACCAGTGGTCACACCCAAAAGGGGATGGGGGCATATGTGGAGAGAGGTTTGAGGTGGGAATGGGGGGATGAGGACAATTATGTGATACCATAATCAATAAAAAAAAACAAACATTAAATGTATGTTTGGATAATTCACATGCATAGAACTTTCTCTACTTTTAGTTTCTTCTTAAATCTCTGAACTTCCATATGCAAAAACTTTCTTTTCTCCTGATATAATTCCTTAGAAATGCTTTTAATAAAGACCGATAGCTATCAAATTTAAAAAAATATATCAACTCCCAGAATGGTTATCATAAAAAAAAATCAACAAACAAGTGTTGGTGAAGATGTAGAAAAGGGAACCTTTGTACACAGTTGGTGGGAATGCAGATTGGTGCAACCAACTGTTAAAAACAATATGGAGTTATCTCAAAAAATGAAAAATGGAATGGCCATATGACCTAGTGATTCCACTTCTGGAAATTTATCTGAAGAAACCTAAAACATGAAAGAATATATGTACCCCATATGTTTATTACAGCATTATTCATAATAGCCAAGATTTGGGAGCAGCCCAAGTGTCTTTCAGTAGAGGATTATTGGATAAAGAAGATGTAGTACATAGGCACAATGGAATACTATTCTTATGGAACAAGGAAGAGGAAGAAAATCTTATCCTTTGCAAGAAAATGGATAGACCCTGAGAATATTATGCTAAGTGAAATAAGGCAGTCAGAAAAGGCTAAGAACTGAATGATTTGACTTAAATGTAGGATATAAAACTGAAACTCATAGATACAAACAAAATTATGGTGGTGACCAGAGGGTTGGGAGTGGGGGAATTGTTAAGTGTAAAAGAAGCCAAGTATATGATGATGAAAGATGATTTGACTGAGGTTGGTGGGCACACAATGCAACATACAGATCATGTATTATAGGAATGTACACTTAAAACTTATATGACCCTATTAACCAATGTTATCCCAATAAGTGTAATTAAAAAAGAGAGAAATGCTAATCAGTCTCAGATTGGAAGCATTTGTGGCTTTTGTCATGGAGAAACATAAAATCAGTTTTCATAGGCCAAACAGTGACTCTCAATGATATACAGGTGCTAATCCTTTGAAACTTTGAATATTAAACTATATGATATTAAAGAGGTGATTAAATTAAGCATTTTGAGATGAGAAAATTACCCTGGGTTACAACCCAAGTGGGCCCTAAGTGTAATCACAGGTGTCCTAGTAAGAAGGAGGAAGGGAGACTCGAATACAGAAACAAAGGATAAGTAAAGAGGGTAAAAGTAGAGGGTTGCTCGCCAGGGAATGAGGACAAATTGGAGAAGAGTAAGAAATGGATTAAGAACCTCCAGAGGAACAGGCCTTGCTGGCACTTTGATTTTTATCCCATAAGATCTACTTTGGATTTCTGACTATAGAAATGTAAGATAATATTATCTTATATTTTGTTGATTTAAGCCACTAAGTTTGTGGTGATTTGTTACAAAACTAATACAGCATAGATATAAAAATCATCTTGAATATGAAGTCACACAACTCAACCTACCAAACCCTCTAATAAAAAGCCAGTTAGAAACGACTAAGAACTGAATGATTTGACTTAAATGTAGGATATAAAACTGAAACTCATAGATACAAACAAAATTATAGATACAAACAAAATTATGCTGAGTGCTTCTGAAAAGTATGTTGGAAAACTTTGTAAGAGGTAGGGGAGGGTACCAGAGGAGACATTTTTCTTTTATTTTTTAATTTAATTTTATTTATTTTTACATATTTTATTAATTTTTTTTGCCCCCCTCCCTCCCTCCCACACATCCCCTCCCTCCCCAGAGTTTTGTGTCCATTGGTTGTACTTATATGCATGTATACAAGTCCTTTGGTTGATCTATTCAGAGGAGACATTTTTCAAAGAAGATTTTTTTATTTTCAAAGATAGAAGCATGAAATAAGACAGGATTCTTTTACAAAAAAACATCTTCAAAGAATAAAATATTGCTTTTAAATTATTCTAATGATTGACATTGGGTGAGTTTAATTCTGAAATGTCTGTCACTATCAAGGAAAAGTATGGCATCCATGGGTCAAGCTTCTAATTTTCTATAAATTGAATGAGGAGGAAAATTAAAATATTATATAAAGATTAGCTTAGGGAATTCATGGACCCTAAAAATTGGATGATTTTTTTTGCACTAATATAGATGACCATGTTTGTACTGATGTATTTTCACTGATAAGAAAGGCTCAAAATGGACAATGGCACTAATCAGCAATATTTCTTGGGAGTACACTTCCACTGATGCCAGCCACAAGAAAGACACTTAAACCCATTGTTTATCACCGTCTGTTTGTAAATTTCCTTATCATCTGCTACATGAAAATAGAATGGTATTTTTTTCTGAATAAGATACTCTTTCACATGATAACCAATTTGCATCATGACGCCTTGGCGTCGGTATTTAGGGACAGTATGTCCCATTCTTATCTCACAGGACTGTTCCATCACAACCCAAGAGATAAGATCCCCCTCTGGACCCAGCACGCCAAATCCTGGAAAATGCTGAAGGCAGTGTTCAACATATTTCAAGCTCCTCTCATTTTTTCCATAGTCCCAATGCTCATTCACAACCCCTGCATGTGAGGCATCCAACAAGATGCTCAGAAAATTTCTTTGCCTGCCAAGAAAAAAAAAAGAACATTTACTCAGCCAATTTTTACCAAATACCAGGATTGCAGAGTATTAATAAGATACCATTTCTTTTCTTTAGGATCCCACAGCTTAGAGGAGGAAACAGATAAAAAAAAAAAAAAAAAGTACTGTTTTTATGTTTGCATCAAAATCTTCCCAAATAATTGAGAGGGAGAAAATCTTAAGAAAGCATATCTCAGAGAAAGCCCAAGCAAATACTCAGGGAAGAATAAAATCAGCTGATGTTCCTAAAATAGCAAAGATGTACCCCAGAGCATCTTCCTATGTGGCTGAATTTTCTTTGAAGGTTCACATTGGAAACACATGGGTTCTGAATTCTACTATACAAAATATCTAAATAGACAAAATAATATTTATTTTAACAGATAATTCAATAAAATGTATGCTGCAGGAAGATAAGAGTAATGTTAATCTTACAGCTTCATGTGTCCCAAAGCCCATCAACACATACCTTTAGGGAAATACAAAAAAATGCCATTGGAGAAGCATCACTAGAGGGGAAATTGGATTTTGGGGTGGTAGCAATTAGGATTTTAATCCTGTTCTCTCAATGGATAAATTATCTAAGACTAAATGTTCTCATCTGCAAAATCAGAAAAATATCCTCTGTGGTAGGGGAGGTTGGGGCAGGTGGAAGATTCCAAAGAACTTTTAGCCCTCCCCAGAGAGGAAGAGTTTTCAGGAACTTTTCAGTTTCAAAGTAGATCTATGTTCTCTCAAGGGTGAGGTCACTAGGCATGAAATTGTCTGCACAGGAGTAAGGCTTTCTTTTTACTCTTTTCCATGCCTGACCTTATCCTAGCTCTGCGTCCTCAAAGGTCTGGAGCCTTGTCACCTGTCTCCTCCTGTGTAATAAATATGCATTTGGAAACACAGATGGACCAAAGAAAAATTTGAATATTGTTGGGTCTCCCAGTTCAATCAATGGCATTTGTGAGTGGGAATTTAGATTTTAATTGTTCTTTTGAATTATTAATACAGTTATAAAGCATAAATGGAAATTAACTCAAAATAATTACTTTCTCTCTCTCTCTTTCTCTGATCCCCTATTACCCAGTTATCTTCTCTAGATGCACCTAGTTATCCTATCTAGTAAAAGGGTAATATGCAAATTGACCATCACTCCAACACAAGCTAGCTGCCCCTACATGGTCAAAGATCTTGCCCCCATGTGGACACAATATGGCCACCACAAGATGACCAGCAGGGGAGAGCAGTTGGGAGGACCAGGCCTGCAAGGGAGGGCAGTTGGGGGCAATCAAACCTGCACGGGAGAGCAGTTGGGGGTGACCAGGCTGACAGAGGAGGGAAGTTGGGGTGACTGGGTCTGCAGGGAAAGGCAGTTGGAGGGGACCAGGCCTGCAGGGGAGGGCAATTAAGGGTGACCAAGCCTGCAGGGGAGGATGCTGGAAAACAAATCAGTTTCACTAAAAAGAGATGTTGAGAGGAAGGCTGGTCAACAACTTTAATTGCTCTAACCACTTATCCTTTAATTGAGACATTGTTAGCTGAAGCAGCCTCCACCTTGTTTGTCCTGTGTAAGTTTCTATTATTTCCTGCCTAAGGGCTACATGTAAATTTCTGTTTATGTTGCCTAAGATGTTTTCCCCAAAGCCTTAATAAAAGGGGATGGCAGGCCCAGAGCAGTAGTAGTTCTCCCACTAGAGTTGGAATACCGCCTGGCTCCCCATATCGCCAAGTTGAATTTCTTCAAGTCTCAAGTCTCTTCATTTGAGTGCGGCCCTTCTCCAGAACCCGAACCCTGACTTAGAACTCTTTCCATGCGAGCCAAGAAAGAGATTCCTATAGGAGGGCAGTTAGGGGCAATCAGGCTGGCAGGGGAGCAGTTAGACATCAATCAGGCTGGCAGAGGAGTGGTTAGGGGTGATCAGGCTGGCAGGCAGAAGTGATTAGGAGCAATCAGGAAGGCAGGCAGTAGAGCAGTTGGGAGCCAGCAGTCCTGGATTGTGAGAGGGATGTCCGACTGCCCATTTAGGCCTCATCCTAAACGGGTAGTCAGACATTCCTCAAGGGGTACCAGATTGAAGAGGGTGCAGGCTGGGCTGAGGGACACACAACTCCCCCTGTGCATGAATTTCATGCACCGGGCCTCTAGTACAATATATTTATGTAATTTTCTAGAGGTATTCTATAAAATTTTCCATGTGTACATGCTGTGATAGCATGCAATATATAATGTTTTGTCCATCTGAATTGTTGTTTCTTCCTTTACTTAGCAATATATTTTGGAATTCTTTTCTTATCAATCCATATAGAAACGCTTCATTCTTATTAATAGCTACATATTATTCCAGTGTTTGGGTTAAACTTTAATTAATTTATCCATGCCTCTACTGATAAAAACTTAGGTTGTTTCAGATTTTATGCTATCACATATTAAATTCATCAAAGTTTTAGCATCCAATTTGGTAATATCTTTACTTAATATACATATTTTGATCCAACTATTTCAATGCTAGGAGTCCATCTTTCAGAACTATTAATTCAACTTGTGCCACAATATATTTATGCAGATATTTATTACAGAATTTTTGTTATTAGGAAGAACTGGTGATAAATTAAACATGTGTCAATATGGGAATACATAATTATGTATTTCCCTATTATAGAAATCTATACAGCTGTCCAAATAAATATATCTGTGTGAGTTTACATGAAAAACATAAATAACATATTGGCTAAGTAAAAAAAGTAAGCTGCAATACAGTATGTGTGTATATTACTTAAAAAAAGGGGGGGGCGGGGGAATAACAACAAAAACACACATAGTTCTAAAAGCATAAACACCAATACTAATAGTATTTACACCTGGATAGGAAGATTGTGAAGAATTCATGTAGGCAAACTTTTGCTTTTTATTTTGAATACTTGTGTATTTTGTACACCATGTAGCATTTTTACAAAAAGTAATCGTTTTAGAAAAGATTTTTCAGTGCTACCATGAGATCCAATACCTGCCAGGTAAAGAACTTGTCTAATGAAGGCACTGCCTATGCTCAGCAAACCAAGTTCCCTTCCTTTACCCATCCAACTATGTGCCTCATCATAATTTAGTCTCAAATATTACATTTCAAAATTTAGTTTCAAATATTATGGCAACTGAATGATTCTATCAGGAGTTTGGGAAGCAAAAAAGTAAAATCTCACTTGCTAGCTTCATCCGTGTTGAACCTTTTAAGTAGTTCCATCAAATTCTCATTGCCATCACTTGATGTCTTGAATTTCTCTGGTATATCTAATGTAAAAAGCATGGTCTTCCTGTAATCCACCTGCACTGATTTTGAAGCGGAAACCTTTCTTATTGCCTCACCCAAGTTCTCTTGACAACCTGGAGAGAGGAGAAAGACAGGTTCAGCATCACTCTGTTCATATCTACTGTGAACAAACCAGGGCGCCTTTGCCTGTTAACTCAGACCAGTTACCTTGGATCTGGAAGGCTTGTTCCCAGTTGATAACCTGGGGGGATGCCAGGGCTTCCTCCAGGTTGTCAGGAGCTTCAGTGAAGATGTGGTAACTGTTGGTATAGTGATCCAGATCATCTTTCATCTCCTGATAAAACAAATATAAATCAAATTTACATGACACTAAAATTTACCAAATGTTCTTGCCAATGTCTGGAGTGCTAGAGATATGATGCCCTCTGTTTTTCTGAGAGATGTGCATAAAATGGCCTTGGAATCCCTTGAAGAATAAGTCACTATTAACACATTGAAGGTGTTTCCTTTCTTTTTTTTTTAAATTTAAGTTCTTTATTGTTTAAAGTATTACATAAGTCTCCTTTTTCCCCCATTGACCTCTCCCCGGCTGCCCCCACCCCCAACACATGCCGTCACCACCACCACCACCAACCCCTCTGTGTCCATTGGTTATGCTCATATGAATGCATACAAGTCCTCTTACCCCCGCCCCCCCAACTTTGTCTCATAGGTTGGACAGTCTGTTCGATGTGTTTATGTCTCATGAAAGGTGTTTCATTTCTGATGGTGCACTGAAGTCAGCTGCCCTTGGGAGGGTAAGTAGGTAGGTCCATTGTCTGGGATGGAGGAAGCATCAGGATTAGATAAATGTGTAAAAGAGAGAGCACCTCTGGTATAGAGAGAAGTATAAGGAACAGAGTTGGGGGTCAAGATTCTGAGTCTGTGAGGAGACAATGCCTAAGCTAATTCTGACCCAGCATTCTGGGGCATGGTAATTGACTCTTGGTGCACATGTGAATAAAGAGGACTTTGAGAAAGACCCATCATCCAGAGCTCAGAGCAGCATCTGTAGTAGAGGGCCAGGTCTGCCCCTGCCTACCTGCTTACTTTCTGCTTCAGACACCATCAGGGGGGACACTGCAGATGATGTGTTCTAACTCACCTGATTACTATGTAAATAGAGGGAGGGTAAAATATCCCTATTCTGAAATGGAAGGAATTCACTACTTATACACCCCAAACCTGGATGATGAGGAAGACATTCTGATCAAATATCCATGATTTATCTGTTGTTTAACAATTCTCTCACATAATAATTTTATCAACGTTACTTTTTATAATTAAACTGTTAACCGGGGAGTTCCCTTTTTAATTATGCAACGTACAACGGGCGCATACTCTTTCACTAGGACGTGTCAGTACGTCACGCCCAGTGGATGTAATTTTATATTATTATTGTTTTTATTTATACTTAATTAAAATAAATGAAATATGTATATATTTTTTCATTTATTTATATATAAAGCACAAAGGAAAATACAAAATTACAAACAAATAGAAAAAAAATACCAACAAAAAAAATGGAAACATCGAATTAAAAAATTATAAATTTTACAATTATAAAGATTACAAAAAATATATTTTTTATTTTTATACACAATAAAAAATATAAAAAAGTTAACAATTACAGAACAATAAACAAAAGCACACAAATAAAATAGAAATATTGAGTTAAAAAATTGAAATATAGATGTAAAAATTCAAAACTCAACTTCCATGTGATATATTTTAAAACAATTGTTGATACCTTACAATCCGGACACCAGTATGTAGATTCTTTCCTAACACCTTTTTTTTTATTATTAAATTATTATCTGTGTACATATTTTAACATTGCCCCCCCTCCCACACATACCCCCCCTCCCCAGAGTTTTCTGTCCATTGGTTGTACTTATATGCATGTATACAAGTCCTTCGGTTGATCTCTTATCTCCCCAGATCTCCCTACTCTCCCCGCTGTAATTTTACAGTCTGCTTTATTGCTTTACTGTCTTTATATCTGACTTTTGGTTTGTCAGTTTATAATGTTCTTTAATATCCATAAATGAGTGAGGCCATGTGGTATTTCTCTTTAATTGACTGGCTTATTTCACTCAGCATGATGTTCTCTAGTTCTATCCAGATTGCTGCAAATGATGAGAATTCCTTCTTTTTATGGCAGCATAGTATTCCATTGTGTAGATGTACCATAGTTTTTGGATCCAATCATCTGCTGACGGGCATCTAGGCTGTTTCCAGATTCTAGCTATTATAGATTGTGCTGCTATGAACATAGGGGTGCATATATCCTTTCTAATTGGCTAACACCTTTTTTGTAGCAAACTCGGCATTTCCTGGATTTAATTTTTCCTATATCGCTTTTCATTTGTTCTGGAAAATGTCTTTCAACTAAGCGTGATGGTTTAGATGTAGAGCTGCTTGTTGTCTTTGGGTGGGTTTTCACTATGTTGTTATCTACCAATTACACTCTATCAAAAAGTGTAATCGATCCAAAAGACCTTTATCTTTTTTGTATATAATATATGCATTGAAGCAGCACATATCAATTAATCGTAGAAATTTTTTTTTATAAAATTTCTTTACCCTATTATGGGCAGCTGTATAGGCCACCATAACTCCATCTCCCAAATCTATGCCACCCATATTCTTGTTATAATCCAGGACAACATTCGTTTTTTCTTGCCTTCTTCCTCTCTTTTCAATCATTGTCTTTTCGTCATTATGAATAGAACTGAGCATCAATATGTCTTTTTTTTATCCTTCCATTTTAAAACCATAAGTTTGTCTTTGATTCTTACATATGTTCATTTTTCTGTAATTTTTTTGTTTTTATTTCACTGGGGATTCCGACTCTATTTATCCTCATTGTTCCAACAATGTCTGTATTGTTTTGACACAATTCAGCCAAATGAATTGACGTATAGAAATTATCTAAGTAAATCCTATACCCTTTATTCAGTAAGTCATGTGTTAACTCAAAAACAATTCTTGTTGATTGTTTTTCTTGTGGGTAGTTCGAACCATAATTTGTGTACTTGCCTGTGTATAAAATTATATTTTGTACGTATCCAGATTGGCTTTAACTCAAAATAAATAACTTCATTCCAAATCTAGCTCTTTTTGTAGATATATATTGTTTCCAAGATAAATTCCCTTTCCATAATAAAAGAGATTCATCTACACATATTTCTCGTTCACATACATAAAAACTTTTAAGCTTTTCTGACAAATTATTGATGATTGGATCAATTTTATATGTTTTTTATTATATAAAGGTTGGAGATATAAAAAATATAAGTAAATAATGTATAATATGAAAATAGGTAGGTAAGTGTAAGTACGTACCCTTCACTGCTCACCCAGAACACGTCCACCACTCTCAATAGCGAAATTATACTGATTCCCTTCGTGTCTTAAATTCATGTCGAGACATGTATGGATGACTAATACCTTTGTTGTTCGAAATATATGTCCCACCTGTTTCAGGGCGCAACATATATTTCAAGGACATATTCATATGTCCTACCCTTACCCGATATTGTTTACGTTTGACGTATTTATACATCCCGCTCAGTTAACAGGTTAAGAGAACAGCTATCTTCCCAAGGTCACACATTTAGTCACTTAGCAGGTTTAGATCTCAATCCCAATACTGACTCAGGTACTATTGGATTATGTTCACTTAGACATAGAGAAAGACAACATTTCCTAACCACTTGCAGCCATAGGCGTCTATGTTGAGGTGCATGGCTGTGGTCAGACTCTTAATAGAAAAGAATGCACTAGATGGGATCCTAATGTTATTTACAAGACTGGTACTTATTAGCTATTTGGTCAATTCCATGCTAATTTCACTGTCCTACCTTCTCCCTCAAGTGGCCTTTCTAAACTTATATGAATCACAAATGTCAAGGTTGTTCTTCCCAGCCAACAGCTTCAGTTCTTTCATTCCCACAGAAAGACCATCCAGAGCATAACCAGCCTGGTATTCAGTAGCTTGAGCTCTCACCTCTTTCTTAGGCCGAGTAATGACTATCTGATAATCTGGCCAGGCATCCACCAGCACCTCCAAGTTGAATGGGTTTTTATTTTTAATGTGAAAAATGGCACCATATACCTACAAGAGCAACAGAACAAAACAGGAGAGAAAGTTCTTCTTTGAAATAGAGCCTTGTATCTGGTACAGGAAATAAGACCAGGAGTTAGGGAGACTGAACAGGATAGAACCAAAACTTCCAGTATGGTTCATTGGACTATTTGCTTCAAAATGGCCCAGCAAAGATCCACAAAACTCCAAATTAATAGCTGAATCATTGAGAACGTTTTCCCTGGCTGGTGTGGCTCAATAGGTTGAGCATATTCCCAGATATCAAAGGTTGATGGTTCAATGCTGGTCAGGGCACATGCCTGGGTTGCAGGTTCAATCCCTGAAGGGGAGTACATGCATGAGGCAACCAATTAATGTTTCTCTCTCACATCAATGTTTCTATCTCTCTCTCCCTCTCTCCAAAAATCAATAAAAACATGTTTTTAAAAAGAACTTGCCATCCTATCTCTATCTTGAAATTCACTCATTCATTTTTTAAACATTCATAGCATTGTTCCAATTTTTTTAATTCATACCATACTATATCACTTATGGGGCATCTATTATATATATCAGATGTTTGTCAAGTATAGAGAATTCAAAGATGAAATAACATGGCCACTGCATTCAAGTTATATCTGGAAGGATAGAGAAATACCTAGTCTTATCATAACAGGACATGTGTTCTGATACATGTATGCGTGTGGTGTGTGGCATCCCAGGGACGAAGTTGTGGGAGACTGATAGAAAAAGTAATACTTGAATTAGGCTTTGAGGTATAAGTAAAATTTTCCCCTGGCAAGATAGAGAGAGAAGGATGGCAAGTAATTCCTGGTGGGAGAAAAAGCATGAATGAATGCTTGAAGGAGTAGCAGATTGTATTCTACCTGCAGAACTGTGAGGGGCTCAATAATTGAAACATGTGGTATATGATGAGGGAATGTTGGGAAATGAAATAGAAGAGGTTGGGGCATTTTTTTTATAAACCTTTGTATACACAATTAAGAATTGTGGACTTTATTCTGTAGACATGGGCCTCTACTGAAATTTTAAAACAAGCAATAATATGATTATATTTGTTCAGAGAGATGGCTCTGCTCACCAAGTTGCAGGTGAGATAGTAATATTGAAAACAGGGAGCTATTGCAATAGCCTAGAGCAAAAAAAAAAAAAAGTAATCCACTAAAGATAGCAATATAGTTGGTTCAAACGATGTTTAAGAAGCTGAAAAAGAGTAAGGTAGGTGAATGAATATGGCTATTAAAATCATCCCTGAAGAAGAAATCTGACTTTAAACTTGAACTTTCATCCACCTGGGAAAGGTTCTGAGCCCTGAATCTATCCCCTGTACACCTCATCCCTGTCTCCTCACATCACCCACTACTCTCTCACCTTATAGGACTCAGGAATGCTCTTTTCCAAGGATTCATACAAAATCTGCAGGTTCTGGGGATCATTAATCACAAACATCTTGTGTAACACCTCAGTCCTCTTCCCTCAGGAAGATGATCTAAAGAAATAAACACACAAACAAAAACACCTGGAGAGATGAGACAGGTGTCCAGGGAGAGGAGAAAAGTGAAGCCATCTAGGATACCATACATTTATTTCCAACCATAATGCCTTCTTGCAGTAGAATTTTCTGGATTAACCTGATCCAATAGAAACTCTGTTACGATCATCCATAAAAATAAGTTGAAGAATATGAATGTTTAACAAGATAAGAGAGAAAGAGAGGCCAACAGAGAAGACTAAGGAAGAATTATAAATAAAAAATGAAAAATAAGAATAGTATCTCTGAAATCAAAATAAGAGAAACTTCATTTAAAGAAGAGAGTGCATAGCAGCACAATTTACAATAGCTAAGATTTGTTAACTAAGTGCCTAAGTGCCCATAGCAGATGAGTGGATTAAAAAACTGTTGGGCGCCATTGTAGCTGAATCATTGAGAACGTCGGGCCTGGTTAGTACTTGGATGGGAGTAAAAAACTGTTGTACATCTACACAATGGAATACTACGTTGTGGCAAGAGAGAGAGAGAGAGAGAGAGAGAGAGAGAGAGAGAGAGAGAGAGAGGGAGGGAGAGGGAGAGAGAGTTCTTACCATTTGCAACAGCATGGATGGAACTGGAGAGCATTATGCTAAGTGAAATAAACCAGGCAGAGAAAGATAAATATCACATGATCTTACTCATTTATGGAAAATAATGAACAACATAAACTGATGAACAAAAAAGATTCAGAGACAGAAACATCGATCAGACCATTAAACCTCAGAGGGAAGGTAGGGGAGGGTGGGGGTAAGGGAGAGAGATCAAACAAAGGACTTGTATGCATGCATATAAGCCTAACCAATGGACACAGACAACAGGGGGGTGAGGACATGAGGGGGGCGGTTAGGGGAGGTAATGAGGGAATAAAGACACATATATATATAACACCATAATCCATAAAGAATTTTTTAAAGTGATTAGAGAAGACAAATACTGCTGAGAAACTAAGAGAGATTAGCACAAAAATGCCAATGCATTTTGGAGTAAGGAATTAATTTTCTGATTTGATGAGATGTGCCATGGAATGATGGAGGAAGAAATCCAAGTTAAGGTGATTGGAGAAAAAATAAATGTAAGGAAATGAAGATAACTCTTTCAAAGAGCTGCATCAGAAAGGAAGGAGAAAAATATGATAGTAATTGGGGAGGAGGGACTGGAGACTGCAGGAGCTTAAAGGAAGGCATTTCTTATTAGATGAGAGAGATAATCTTATTGATGTTAACTATAGAAAGCAGGTTATATGAACAGAAATTGGTGGGATTTAATAAGAGATGGGAAGGGGAAAGAAAAATAGTTACATCAATCCAGGCACTGTTTCAAATCCTTTATGTTTATTCATTTATTTTATCTTCAGTCACACTTCTATGTGTAAATATTGGGACTAGTTTTGTACAGAAAGAATACCTCTTCCACACAATGGAAAAGAAGTATTTTAGCTTAGGTGTGAATGTAGGTATATGTTTGTGAGTACTTGAGATTAGAAAAAAGAGCAGGAAGTTGACATGTTATCTCTGAATACCTATTTTCTGGAAGTAAAAGAATGGAAAATCACCTTTGGGAGTAAGGTCTTTTGGGAGGTAATGTACCAGAAAAACATAGAGAAATACAATATGGTGTTAATGCTAAAAATTAAAGTTTGCATGGGCTCTTATGCTTGTTGGAGAAAATGCAGAGTAGGAATACATAGAGCAATTGCAAGACATTACTTAGGGCAGGTGCAGGTGGAAAAACATCATTTGGGAGTTGTATTCACCCACATGTATGATCTCAGTACTCCAGAGAGCAGAAGAAGAGAAAACAAACTGAAATGAAGCAGGTTTAAATTTTTTCCAGACTTAGCGCAGTAGATAACTGGCAACCGGCAAAGTTTTTGAGAATAAAGGAAAGAGACGCTTGAAAGTAAATTAAAATTGTGGAATCTAGAAGAAATGAGAAAGTAAATTAGGATGGGGACTAATCAAGTGATAAAAGATGAAGAGAGCAGGGGATAAAGCACTTTATGAGGTCAAAGAATAGCAATGGTGATAGGTAGGGGGAATGTATTCAAAAAATAGGAGATTGAAATAAAAAATTAGGCTATTAGAGGGTAGGATTTCAGAAGTAATTCAGTTCAGTGCTCACTTCAGCAGCACATATACTAGAAGTAAATCAGTTCAAGTCATGCCCATCCAGCATTGCTCATTGTTTGAGCATTGACCCATGAACCAGAAGCTCAAGGTTTGATAGACAGTCAGGGCACTTGCCTGGGTTTCAGGCTCAATCCCCAGTAGGGGGCATGTACAAAGCATTGATGTGTCTATCTCTCTTTTTCTCCCTTCCTCTCTTTGAAATCAATAAAAACATATTTTTTAAAAAATAGAGATGCCAATAAGGAAATAGATGTTGTAGGTACCACAGACATCAGCAGGATGCAACAGGAGTTTAATGGAAAGAAATATCTGTGAACCCAGTGCAAAATGCATTAATGATTAGAAAGAAATTTGTCAGGAGAAATAGGAAAGGGCAAAACTTCATCTTAGCCACATAGTGCTTCATTCAAAGAAGGAAGAGTTTTTCTATGCAAATGGACAAGTAACACTTTAGATCCATGGATTGAAGGCAAGGAGAATGTTGATTCTTGTCTTTACTCACAATGTTGTTATAGGTGTCTGTAGGGTGGCAAGGAAAAGCACACACATATCAATACTTTATGGTTAAGGAAAGGATTTGGACAGGTTACCAGTTCAAAATAACACATGCTAACTTTATAGATTTTTAAAGTACTTTCTGGCTCCAGGGACCTACAATATTTTTTAGGAATTAGTTCCCAATATTGGGCTCAGGTCCAAGAGTTTGCAAGGGGGAAAAAATAAATTAACAAATAAAAAAAATTTTCCCATAGGGGGAGTGGACTTCTACAAATGGTTATTTTCTTCTTTTTTTACTTTAAGTTATTTTTATACGCCTCAGAGATAACCATTATTATTCTGACTTCTATAATAATCAATTATTTTTTCCTGTTCACATAAATGAAATTATACATTATATATTCTTTTGTGTATGGCTTCTTTGACACAACTTATTTTCTTCTATTTGTCCATGTTATCATGTGCATCCATACTCCATCTTTTTTCTTTTTAACTGCTATATAGTGTTCCAATGTAGGAGCATCCCACAATTCACTTATCCATTCACCTGATGATGAGTATTTGAGTTGACTTTAAATTATGTTTTATTTTTCAATTTCAGTGAAATACAAAATATATTACTTTTAGGTATACAACCCAATGATTAGACATTACATAGCTTAGTAAGTGATCATCCCAATAAATCTTGGGCTCATCTATCACCATACATAGTTATTACAATATTATTGACTATTTAGAATTGAAGAACATATGAAGAGCTTTCCAGACAAGAAAAGCTAGGGAGTTTGTCACCACCAAATCAGAATTACATTTGCAATGTGAAGGGTCTTCTCTAAGAAGATGGGAAAAAAAGATTTTAAAATATTAATAATAAAATGACAATAAATACATATCTATCAACAACTGAATGTAAAATAAATAATCAAGCAAACAAGCATACAAAAAATCAGAACATTAAACAGACTCACAGAGAGAGAATTATGACCATTGTCTCATGGGAGGAGGGTTGGGCAGGTTAGGTGGAAAAGGTGAAGTACAAATTGGTAGTTACAGAATAGGCTCAGAATATAAATACAAATTCTTATTTTTAATTATAAGTGATATACAGTATACTAGTTTCAAGTGTACAACATATTCTTTCAATATTTATATACATTATAAGATGATCACCACAATAAGTCTAGTAACCATCATAAATACAAATTCTTTAGAACCAGGGTTCTAATTAATTGGAAGGCTGAAAAAGACAAGACACTGCTGTCCAAAACAATCTGCTTACCTGATGGTTTGTTGTAGACCTGTGTTCACACAAGCTTTTGCAGTCACTCAGAATGGCAATGGAGAAGCTTCTGTGGCTACCACCTTATAGACTCCACCACATGAAACTTGAACTGACTCAAGCGTCACTATGCAGCATAGAACTCCAAGAAGAACTAGATTCCTAATGAGTCAACTGAAGGAACTTTTTGTTGACATAAGCCAGAGACTTTGTGGGTCAGAGGAAAACTTCTCCAATTATGAAATGTTTCCCACTGAACATTTTTATTTATGTACCATCACTTATATATAATTGGATATTCCAAAGCATAAATAATAAGGCAATGTTGTGGAGTTGGCAGAAATTGTCCAGCTGCCGAGTTATTTAAATAGTATCATTAGGGCAAACAGAAGACCTAAAAAATTTGACTTCATTTCAAAATGCCTGGCCCAATGTTTTCAACCATGTGACCTGGGGGAAGCCAAGAACTCTTCAGAGAAGTGGGTGTTAGCCTAATAACTGGGCTTTGAACAAGTTACCCTTTTTGTGCTTTAAAATTAATGGAAGCAGGCCGAAACCTGTTTGGCTCAGTGGTAGAGCATTGGTCTGCGGACTGAAGGGTCCCAGGTTGGATTCCGGTCAGGGGCATGTACCTTGGTTGCGGGCACATCCCTGGTAGGGGGTGTGCAAGAGGCAGCTGGTCGATGTTTCTCTCTCATCAACCTTTCTAGCTCTTTATCTCTCTCCTTTCCTCTCTGTAAAAAATCAATAAAATTTAAAAAAAAATTAAAATGAATGGAGGCAAATAAGGAAAGAGCCTTATAAACATAAGAAAAAAAAATAACAGTTCCTGCACAAAAGTTCATTAGAAATTGGAATTCGTTTTTGGAGATGAGCAGAGGTAAATTTTGACTTTTAAAAGTGTGTTCCTCACACCATCTCTATCAAGACCTTCTGGGCTGACTTGTTAGAAATACAGGCACTTCTCCAAATCACCTGAATCAGGATCTTCCAGAATGCTTGGGAATCTGAGTTTTACAAAAAGCTACCTAAAAGTGTTGAATCTACATTAA